AAAAAAAAAAAAAAAAAATTTAAAGTTTCCAAAAAAAAAAAAAAAAAAAAAAAAAAGCCTCTCACACCCCCTCTCTCTATAGCCTTCTTTCATCGACATTTCACTGCTGGATTGGACTCCCATGGCCTAACATACAGCTCTCAAGTCACCACACATCCACATCTTAAGTGTAACGAAGAACTGAAAAACCTTGGTGCACCAGTGATGTGTTATTTTTAAAAATAACAGCTCTATTAAACCAAATCCTTCCCAGTCTCCACCGCTTCTCAAAGAGGAAAAACAAAATGTTACTGTGGGAGTCTTAATACACTCGTCTTTGTGGGTTTCTCTCTTCCCTGCTGAAGTCATACGGCATAGAGCTCATAGATCTTCTTTACACAGTACACCAGGGCAGCGAGTGCTATCGTGTTATGCAGTCTCTTTCTGTGCAGGTCGTCCTTCCTCACCAGCACCACCGGGGTGGAGGAGGTGAGCGTATGCAGGGGCAGGCGGGAAAGTTTATAGGCATCGTACTCTACTTGGTACTTGCAACAGGGATCAAATTGCCAAGAGATACCGTAAAGGGTGCAGCAAGCCACGCTCAGAACACCAGCCGGCAGGGAGATGTAGTGAGAATAATCTACTGGAAGTGCCAGAGGGGTGAAGAGACAGGTGGTGCCCGCTAACACGGCGGTCTTGTGCAGGCAGTTCCCGACAGTGATCCAGCGGGCCGTCTCATCCCCAATGCGAGTGGGCTCTATCACTATGTACTTGTACTGCGCTTCCAGGGCCTGCTCCAGCTCATACTCAAACTGGTCCTGAGCATTCTCTCCATTGTAGATCTCGTGCACGATGTAACACTCCGTGGAGGACAAGGTGACCCTGTTAGCAGGAAACACAGAGTTAAAACTACAGAGCTTAAAGATGGACTTTTCACCCACCCAGCTGTGAGAACAGGCAAGAAAAATGCCCAGAGGGAGGGCAGCCCCTCAAGGTCAGTCACTGCCTCTGTTCAACAACAAGCAGCCTGTTCAAGATTCATTTCACATCAGCTAATTATGCCTGCTGTATATGAAGTCATCTCAAAATAAGGCAACGTATTTTTCCTTACCTTTTCCTAACTTGGAGGAGCTAGAACCTTTTGAGAAAATAGGATCTTGTTACCAATCCTGAAATGGTTCCTCACGCTGATACCCAAGCAGTTTCTCTAGAGATCCTGGAAGCGTCGCACCTTAGCAACCACACAGCATCAATGAATGAAGCGTACAGACTTAAGGAGTTTTCACAGAAAACAAGACTAGCAATTCATCCATCAAGAGGGCAAGTTGCACTGGAAGGTTTTAAGAGAGAAAGCATCTTCAGATGAGTATGTTCGCTTTTCCCCCACCATAGCTACCTTTGCTACTGATACAGCTCACGATTTAGTCCTCTGTAGTAAATCCAATAAGGATGGCCGAGAAACATTGCTGGAAGCGAAGGTGAAAAAGGTAGCGGAGCACTCTTATAGAACAGCTCACTCTGCTGAAATAGGGCGCAGCAAAGCAAGAAAGGGACATTTATTTAACCCAGGCAGGCTTTAACAGTGGAGGAAGAGCTGCTCGCTTTGCCTTGGAGCAGGCTCCCTACTGACAGGGGACTCGCAGTGCTTGCACGTCCCCATTTGAGTAGCAGCTTTTAGCTGCCTGAAGTCACATCAGCTTCCACCCCTTCCCTCCACCCTCTTCACACACCTCACCTTCTCTGCAGCTACATTAATGGAACAGACTGCTAAGAAATAGGGTTATGACTGTTTACCTGTGCTGAGAAAGGGTAAAACCCCGCCCATTAGAACAAGGCAAAATCCTCCCTTCTGAGCAGAAGAAATAACTATTTCTGACATACTTGTGCTTAACCAGAGCAAAACTGAGCACGTGGCCTCTCAAGGATAAAAATATCTAGCAGATTCCTTTAGCAGAAAGAGAACAAATCGCATGCATATTTGACCTAATCACAGCAGACAAAACAACCTCATCCCAACAGCATTTAGACCCTCCTGATATTGGGAGGCAAGACACCGCTGAGATGGAGAATGAAACTAGCACTTTTTGCTCCATTAGTACAATGGTACTTATGTGCATGCACTGGAAAATAAGGGAGAAAAATACACATTCGCAAGCTGCTGTGTTACCAGACATTACCCTTAATGTGCAGCTCCATTCATGCTGCAAAGGGTATTGTGCAGTGGCCATCTGTAATCAAGAATATTGTTAAATTACAAGCTGTTGCCAGAAGTAGCTGCTTTTGTGAACAGCGGCAAACATATCAAGCAGCAGGTCCCAAGATGCAGCAGCCTCTCTCAAAGCAGAGTAATAAGCAGTTTCATTAAAAGTCTGGCTGGAATCTATATAAACTACAAGGAAAACTCAGCTTAGAAGCTCGCTATTGAGTTCTCTGCAGTGCAGTTACCCCTTGGCCTGTTCACAGATAGACAGAAAAATAAAAATCCACCCGGATGCTGTGTATGCCAGGGAATTCTTTAAGGCCATCATCTTGTCAGACATTGTTTGGAAAGTTACGATTAACCCGTTCAGCACAGGATGTGGTGGGCTCTGACATTCTCTAGTGAATTGGCAAGTATTAAAGAAAAATTTTGAAGGACAGCACCTATATAAAAATTTTACAGAGTACTACATCTCTAATATAAGTAAGTGTATCTGCTAACTTTAAGGAGTTTCTAACAAAGAACTAGTTAACCAGGTGTTACTCTGATACATTAAGGACACAGCTGGTAATGGTTTCTGCCAAGGATTTTTTCTTCTCTTGATGACAGCTGTTCCAAGTGCAGCTTGTTCCAAATCAAAAATTCCAGTTTCATTACAGAAGACATGCTGAGACTTAAGGTAACTCTGTAAAACACCACCGATGACTACGTGAAACCACTAGCTAAGGCATAATGACTTCAAGGAAAAGCTGTTGCTGAAAGGCATTTTCAAGCTGGAAGCTGACCCAGTGCTAACACAACCCTCCAGATAAAATCAGTATTTCCTACCAAGGAGCATTTTCAGCGTTTTGTAACACCTAGGAACGTGCAGCATGGGTCTGCAAAACTGTTGTGGTTTAACCCCAGCTGGCCACTAAGCACCAGAGAAGCAGAATCCAAATTCAACTAAGAGCTGTGCAGAGGCTTAGGAACAGCCCAATAGCCTAGTCACCCTAGGATCTCCCTGCCATCACTGGGAAAACAAGGGTGAAGCCTGTGGAAGAGCCACGGGGAACTGGGCTTCTAACTCCAGGAATTAAGTCAAATAACTACACTCCATAGGATTTCTCCAGGCTCAGCATCAGGACAGGTGGCACCAACCCATCAGCCTCCTTTCTCCTCGCTCAGATTTTGCCTGTTCTTCCCTCTGAATATCCCTTCTTTCCTTTCACCATAATGTACACGAACAGAGCCACACCACAAGCAACAGCCACCTGTCAAAGAGAGCAGGAATCCAACAGACTTTGGCCACAGGCAGCACTGTCCATCTCTTCCAGAATCTTTTGGCTTGCCAGGCTCTGGGGCTTTGTAACAATAAAGTCAAGAAAAGCACAGTCCTCCTAAGCCAAAACAAGCAGATCTTAAAACACATTCTGTTGAAAAAAAAAATCACTGGGAAATAAACTGCACAAAGGCTTCATTCCTGATAGAGTCTGGCCCCTTAACTATGCTGTTTCTCCAAATTAGTCCTCTAATATGGGAATAAATCTCTATTACAGTGCTGAAGCTGAAAATGGGAAAATGGGCAATCCAAAAACAAAGGACTAAGAATGAAAAATTAGCTGCTCAAACAATAGGACACATGAAGAGTCAGCAACGCAAGCAGAAAGTCTCCATTTCTGCAACAGAGGAAGCGGAGTTTATCACGTACTATTTTCACACAAGAACTGGCTGCCCCTGGAGGATGGAAAGCTGAAAACTGTTTTGCTTTGAGATGATACAGAAAGAGACACAGACGAGATTCGTAGGCTTGAGAAGGTTTTAGACCTTGTTGGCACACAGACCTCAGTCCACAGAGGCAATCTCTCCTGACACAGCCTTTCAACTGAACACAGCAGCTGCGCATGAACAAATCCAGTCGAAGCAACTGGATTTGCTCAAACACTGGAGGCTATGGAGTTTGCCTTTTGGAGCTTGTCCCCCACCCCCCAGCAATGACAAACAAAAGTGCAGGGCTATGCAATCAACTCCAAGCTGGCATCCACTGGTTACGAAGTGTGGCGATTTTATATAAATTCCATTTCACTTAAAAGAATAGCAAATAACCAATGTCAGAAAGGATCTAGTTCCAGAAGTCATAAAATGATCCCACATGTTCAGAAGCCCAGCATGGCATTTACTAGACAGACCAGAACCAAAAAGCAGTCATTATGATGATTCAAATGCTTTTCCTCCCCCCAAAATAAAAAAAGAGCGCGCTACGTTAAAAAGTTGTACAGCTGTGCTACAAAAATAGTCCTGGACCTTATATCCAAATAGTTTATTCTATTGCAGCTTCACACATTCTACTCGAGAAATTTTAAATGTCTCGTTCCTGGTACCAACTGCATGCATAGATGTGACAGCACTCCTCTACTCAGCATGGAAAGATGAAAACAATTTAAGATCACTGATGTAAAATTTTGGTACTGCCAAAGTTATAAGTAAGGAATCAGTTGTTAACAGAGCTACCACCAGCAGGAGGGGCAGAAGTGTCTGTCTTGGCTATAGGGCAAGCTTCAAATTACATTTGGATGATCTTCCTAACATGGGAATATCAGAGAGCACCGGGAGAGGGGTGCTGCAGCTGGCTGAACAATAGCAGCTCCAGCAGTGCCCCATTACAGCCCTGAAAGCAGCTCCATTTCTCTGCCTCCAACTTGGAAGCAGACTCCTAAGTGCCTCTTGAAAACAGCAGCTTGTTAAATCCAAGTTTCAACTGGATAGTCTTCATGGATGAAAAAATAAATTCCCTTCTAAGGAGGAGACACAATACCACTCAATGTGAAAAGACCTGAAGTTTTGCCAGGTGGCAACTGGGAAAAAGAGAAGCAAACGAACACAGTGCTGAAGACAGGGCAGATGACAGCATCCTGGAAGAAACCCCAGCATCCTTCTACCACTGTCCACTCGCAGGGGAGAACGACCGAACCTCCCGAGTTTGTTGCCCTCAGCCTAATGGTGTTCTTCAATCTGCCAGATAGGCTTTTGGTGAGGGTTTCAAGTCATCCAACTATCTCAGTTCTGCAAAATGTTCAGAATCACAATTAGAAACAATCTCAATCCGCACAAAGCACAGGTACAGTTCTGTGCAAAAGAAGTTCTTTTTAAACCCCTCCCATAAAACATAACTCAAGTTGTTTGGTTTTTTTTAAAAGAATGTTCTTGAACAGCAGTATTGCTCAAAGCACATACATTCAGATTAACTGTAAATGAAGACCAGCCTGATTAGCAGTTAAAAAAATAAGAAAGGAGAGGCTTGCAGCAGTGTGATAACACCCGTCACAAGCAGAGCACACACACACACACACAAAATCTAGTTTAGCAGTGCAACAGGGGGACTTTGAGCTGGCTGTGCAAGTGAACTTCAGAAAAAGGACATTACCGATGACCAAAACACAGTGTCTGGGGTCATTACTAGCATCTCAGCCAAGCTTGAGTAAGGCTATAAAGGCAAGGCATGACAAATTAAAGAAATCAAACTTCCCTCCCCTCACATAAATCCTTCTTGAAATTTAATTTAATGGTTAAGGAATGAGCTGTGGTCTGGCTTTAATTCTCAGTGGAAATATTCCACCTTAAAGTCATGTTCAACCGTGTATTTTCCTACTCAGGAAAGCTCCAGGATATGGCATGCAGAAAGTACTAACGTATCCAAGCTTAAGCACCTGAAGAACTGTTTCTCTGCTGAACGTCCACAGGATCTACCAGTCTCAGGCCATTAGCCACGGCTGTCAGGCCTATGGCTTCTTAAATGCCATTCTCAACAGGATGTCAACGCATGCATTAAAGCAGAGGAAGAACGGGAAAATCATAGCAATCAAGACTTGCATTCAAAAAGATACACCTTAAATACCAATTGGAAAGAGAACATCAGTGAGATCTTCAGGCAGCCTCGGCAAGGGAAGACAACACTAAGGAAAACATCACCAGACCATAACAAAAAAAACTCCAGCCACCAGCGCAAAAAGAGGTGTCAATTTTAAGTCAACTAATGATTAGCCAGGCTAATGGAAATAGGTCAATCATTGCTGTAAGCAAACAGAGTACCAGAAATCTGAGCAGCGCAGGTAGCAAAGGGAGAGACCTCTTTAAGAGCACAGAGAAGCCAATGCAAGCAGTGGTGATGACATTAAAGCTGTTCTTTCTGGAGTTTGTTAGAACATCTTCCGGAGGAACAAACAGCATTCTGTCTTGTGTTCTGGCGGTGATCGTGCTGAATTTTGTACAAAAACATTAAGTACAATTCAATGTCTGTTCTGTATAAAAAAAGTTGTTTTGGTCTACAGATTAACAATTCCCTTTAGACAGTCTCCATTAAAGAGTCTATCCAGAATGAAGAAAAACAAATATTTAGTTGGTTCTCTTCAGTGTTTTGGGTTATTTTGTTTAACCTTATTATTTCGCCAGCAGAGCACCAGCTGGAGTTCACAGCCAACATC